AAATTTATACTGATAAGAATATAATAATTTACTTCATAATTTACTAATGCTTTTATAGAAATAGTATATTTATTAAAAGCTACTTTGATATATATAATAAAAGAATTTTCACTTATCAACTGATTTATATTTAAAGTTTCTAATATAACTATTTTATCTGAGAAGAAGGCTTCTCTCAGATTTAATCTTTTTCTGATTTGATGATAGCAGTTTCAGTATTTACTTCATTCAGTTCTATCTTTTACTTATATGAGTAATTTTATATTATATAATTTTTACTTTAACAATTAAAGCATTTTATATTCTTTTTTCAATTTTCATTCTTTAGTTTATTCTCAGTTATCTGTGCTGATGTGATTGAAATTAATTTGCAGTTTTAAGTTAAAAGAGTTATTTTTCAGCTGATTTAAATTATAGAAGTTCCTTTATAATTGAGCAGTTATCAGTTGTTTTGACTGAGTATATCTTTAAAATAGTAAGCTATCTTGATACAGATCTCTAGAAACTTATAAAAGATGCTATAATTGATGTAAACTACTGCAATTATATATTAAAGATTAAAAAAAATCTTATAAAAAAAGTCTACTTTATAATTTTTCTTATAAACTTGAGCTTCATCAGTCAGATATATAAACTTGATCATAAATATATAATAATCATCTTTATTTTATATTATTTATTATTAGTATTTTATTTTTGCATTCTCAAATTAATTGATGTTCTTATATATTCTTTGTAAATACTTAAATACTTTCTCAGCTATTTTAAACTTCTTAAAATAATCTTTCTTTATTCTTAAAACTAAGTATCTAATAGCTTCATCATTAGTTCAGTTTTCAATATAAATAATACAGCTTTCTTCAGTTAGAAAGTAGTCTGCATTAACAGCTAGTTTGTATTTTATTCAGAAGAGTCAATTTTCAAATATTAGTTTTTTTTCATTGATGAGACGCTTAGAGTTATCATATTTAACTGATTGTTGTATTTATTGAGTATTTATCAGTCTTATTTAAAAGGTTAAAGAGTTTACAATCTGCTCTAAGATATTTTATTTCTTTATTAAACTGTTCATTTGCTAGTTGAGTTTATTTATTTACTTTCTCTGCTCATCTCATTCTACTCTAATTCTTTTTAAAATGCCTTTTACCTTATTCATGAGATCAGTAATCTCTAAATAAATTCAATCTGAATTCTTTTTAATTATCATAAGGAATTATTATTTTAATATAAAATTTATTAATTTTATATTTCTCTTAGTCAGAGTCATCATATTTTAGTCTGATCTTCATAGACTATCAAACTCTTTAACTACTTCTAACATCTTTAGCAGTCTTTTTAGAGGTTCAAAAATAAAAGTAGATAATAATTCTCAGAGATTTTTCATCTAAAAACCTATTTTAGAAAGAGTAAAAAAAGTATTTAATCTTAGTATTATATTACAACTTCAATATAAATGCAGATAGACAGATGTTCAATTGTCAGCTAGATAAGCAATCTGAGTAAATATTAAGATAATTTCTAAGAGATGAGTCTGAAACAAACTCTGTTTATATAGCTCTTTTTTTTTAAAACTATTTTTCACATTTATATATTATTTATATATGAGGTAATTATGAAGTTGACTACTATATCATTGTTTAAACAGTTGTAATTCTCAATCACCTTAATCTGTTTAATGACTGATTGCTTTAATCTGTTCAATGACTAATTATTTCAGTCTGTTTTATATTATCACAACAGCTTATTATAATATATTTCATTTTTCTATCAGACTACTCATCTGCTTATTAAGCTTATTCATTTGTCTTTGCTTCTCATCTCATTCATTTTTAACCCTGCTCAGAGTTTCTTATATTATTATTGTAAGACTAATAATCTGTTAAAACATCTGCTCTGAGTTTTTATTAAATGTTCTAAAAAATATATTCTTTGATATAAATTCTTTTGATTTTATATTTCTTTCAGTCAGAACCATTATATCTCAGTTTGATTTTTATGAACTATCAAATTCTCTAACTACTTTTGACATCTTAGCAGTCTTTTGTGATAGTGTAGAACAGGATTATGTTCAACCTTCTCAACAGCATAATCGCCACAGGCTGAGGCGATCAGTCATCATATGGGTCAAGATGATCAGTAAATAACAATTGCCTAGACAACAGCAAACAACCCCACAATTACCTCATGTATGAATAATATATAAATATGACAATTACAAGGAAACAGTGCTAGAGAAAAAGGACTATATAAACAGACTCTTCCCTGAATCCATCTTTTAGAAATAATCTTAGTATTTACTCAGATAGCTTATCTAGTTGGCAATTGAACATCAGTTCACCTGCATCTAACTGAAGCTGTGACATCTTTTCATAGATTTAAAATAAAAGTAAATAAAGATTTTTAGAGATTTTTTATCTAAAAATTTACTTTAAAAAAAGTAAAAAAAGTAATTAATTTTAGTATTATATTATAGCTTTAATTTAGATATAAATAAAATAAATATTTAATTATCAACTACATAAACTATTTGAATAAAATATTAATATAGTTTTTAAAAAATAAATTTAAAGAAGACTCTATTTATATAGTTTTTTTCTAAGTATAATTATCTCTTTTCTTAGTACTATTATTTCTTTTTTTAATATTATTGCTAAATAGTATCTACATTTATAAATTATTTATTTATAAAATAATTGTAAGATTAATTGCTATACTATTGCTAAATAATTATGATTATTAATTAATTTCAGTTCAATGATCTTTGTTATCAAAAAGTCTGAACAAAATCTATTTTATATTATTATAGTTATTTAACTGCAGAATTTAATAATTTTTATAAAAATAATATAATTATCTATATTTACATATCTACTTATATATCTTATCATTTTTTAATCATTATATATTGATACTTTTAAGTCATTAAAATGTATATATAAAAAGTTAAAGAGATAATAATTATAGAAAATAATATTATTAATAATAATAATTTTCTTTCTTTTTATTCATCTGTATAATAGAAAATCTTTACAAAAAAGAATATCTATGATGATTTTACTAGAACAAAGTTAAATTATTAAATATAGAGAGAATTCTATTAAAATCATCTTTCAAATATATATATTAACACTATTATTATTATTATTAATTAATAATAAGGACTTGATATCTTTAGTATTTCAGATATATCAAATCATTTATCAACTTGATCATAAGATTCATCACTTGCAGAGAAATATTAATAAGAAGAGACAGCTATCTAGCAGCTCAATATCTCATTTTTAACATCTTGAGAAAATCATACAGATGGCTATAAATACAAATCATCTTCTTCATCAAGAAATCAAGATTCTATAAGCAGAGAATAAGTGGAAAACAAAAAAAAAAAAAAAAGACATAGAGATATGCTAATCTAGGTCAGAATACTATCCTATCTATACAGGAAGGTCATGAGCGTGTTCAGCAGCTTGATATGCAGGTTGAAGCTCAGATTGAAGCTATATCTCACCAGTGAGCTCCACTGCACTTCAGTGGCTGTGAGACTATCGAACATACTACATGCAGTTGCCCTAATAAATAGCTATATATTCAACTATTAGATGGTCTTAATTTATTAATATTTTAAATATTTAAGTGTGTTGGTTGTTGAATTTGTTGAATATTTGATAATTTTCAGAGAGAATCCGCCGCTCAGAGGGTGTCCGCCGCTCAGTGGTGAAGTACGTTAACTGGATATTGTTAGTCATGCTAAAAAAAAAAGGAAAAAGAAAAAAAGAGAGAAAAAAAAGGGGGGTCAACACAAGCCGGGGCTTTATGAAGATGGAGCTGCACGCCGAACAAATGTCCCGGTCCGTTCAATTGTGTCGTTCGACATCAGAGGTAGATTATCGCCTTTTATCCCCCGAATATCCCAAAGCTCAGTGTCGTCCCATCTTTCCCCGGGACGGCGCACGAATTCCTTGGAGTCATGCATCTCATATCGATACACTACTATTACCAGTTACCTGTGTCGGAAATAAACGCACTTGACAGAGCTATTTCCACATTTTGGGGATCACAAGATTGGGTTTTGATGAAGCCTTTGCTGCTTGTTAGTTGTGTAGCTGTTGCTTAACATCCCAAGTTCGACTGACTGTACGTGAGACTCATTGATGTGTTACCCTTTAGAGTAAACAGCGATGGTACAAAATATAACCCTCAATAGAGAACAAGGGTAAATATAAATATATGGCAAGAATCGCTGGCAGGGGACATTCTCTTCTTTCAAGCACCTAATATCATAATAATCAAGAGAGAGTCTGGATACCACCAAAATACTTTTGAACACTAGTCCTGGAGGAGCGCAGGAGGCGCGCTGCTTTACGAGCTGGGATGACAGATTAGAATAACTTCTCAGGCTCCCAACTATTTTCCTGATGGCCCTTGCAGCAGCCAGCCAATTGCGTTTGTCATAAGCCATATACTAGTGCACACTAAGTAATAATGTTAAATTTTAGATATCCAATGAGAATTATCTACTAATGCCATATACGCATTTTTGATTGGCTAAATTATCGTTGGTAAGGAATCCTAGTAGCGAAAATTGCAAATTATCAAGGTTTTAACCTAAGCTAATATATTTTTCTGCCAATCGGTTATTCCCACATGGAGAGCCACGAGATGTCAGCTTGATTTCCCAAATTCCTTCTGATACCACAGTTCTTTATGGTATTAGCCTGCTCTTAGCCAATTCCTCTCAAGTCAATGTGTTTCTGGGCGAAGGGCTCCCAGCGGGGAGCCTTGCTGCAATTATTCAGCGGCTTAATCGAGCAATAACTAGGAAAAGTGATTGATCCACCGTTGTACTCGGCCTCAGCCCAGAAATAGACGGTGAAAGCTGCGCACGGTATCAACATCGACCATATCCCGACGATGAACTCCATCAGGCAGCGACTTCCCCAACTTCATTCTCCAGATATACACGGAGTCCGTCAAGCTCGGCCCTGTAGCTTTTATGTTCAATGACCAGAATTGAAGGCGAGCCGCTTGAACGAGTCTGGAAAACAATTAACGAGGCCCAGAAGGACTCTATCAAGGAGCAGCTGGGCATGTATGTTTTCCAGCATTAGATCACTTCCTCCACCTTTTCTTCAGATGGACCACACGCCATTCTTGGTGGTTGCATACGGAGAAGATGCAATGATGCAAAGGAGGGATTATACGGGTTGCAGAGCAGCCCATAGAATTTCGAGGTCCCGCCTGCCTAGTGTCACGTGCCGGAACCCACACAGGCTAACATTGCTAAACTATTATATAGTTACCTGGCAAAAAGGCCCCCAATAGCCAGTAGTCCACTATACTGGACTAAGGACGAGTACAATCCCATTAGGGGTCACCTGACATCCATAACGGATAGCCAGGTGATAATTTTCTCCATCCTTGATATTCCTGTACCAAATGCACACTGCCATTCCCAGGCCTTCACTCTTGATTCATCACAGATCGCCTGAAAGCTCAACAGGCTCCAAAGATTCCAGACCACACTCTTGATGACTTCAGCCCCATCATGAATTGCACATGATTGCTTGGGACTATGGAGAGGGATTCCAGGTAAGGGCAATTGTAGGTGCAAGGCATTCGGCTCTTCTCCTTGTTCTCAGGCAACAACCTGCGATGGCCGCCAACACCCAGCCCACGTATTCCCTAGCATTCTCCCATTTGTGGTTCTTCTGCGACCAAAAAATGGGTTTGGGCTGGCTCATCGTATGGAGAATACTCCTTTCTGCGATTTTTGTATGTAAATACCCTCCAAACCCCCACCCCCAAACACACTTGAGTGACTTCGCCGCTAAATTAGAATTGGCTAGCGGCGTGAATCCGCCTCCAAACAGGAGCATAAGAGTACACGAATAGTGTTCAATCAAAGTGATTTTCATCGAATTCTTCCTCTTACGAATCTTGCCACGCTGATCTGCTAAGTCTTTGACGCGCACGAATACAACGCCTCTTACATTTCCTCAATGCTTATGTTCTCAAGCATTGGTACTGATTCTGCGAAATTCAGGAAGAAGAAAAGAGAGTCACAAGAACTCTACTTGATAAATGAGAGATAGAGAATGAAATTATATCAGCAACTGCACAGATATAGCGACATATCTAATAACATCAAAAAGACAAAGAGGAAAAGTGGGCTGAAGGGGAAGGGGGAACCCTCCATGTATTTGAGCATCAGGCCACATATGCGAGGCAAAGGCAGAAATAACTGGACCATGATGTGAACTTGACTGAATTGACGATGTTTTTCAAATAGGCGGGCGACTGGTGGGGAGGCAGGGTGATTGGGGTTGGTGAAGCAGATTGTTGATGATGATAAGAAAGGGTTAAGGACGGAGTGGCGAGCCTCTCGCACTAATCCGGAGCGGGAACGTCAGTTTCAAGAGCTGGGGCAATTCCTTGCACCCGCAACATATAAGATAGACACCGTCGGCAGACTAATTCTTCAATCTTATTTTCGCACAATTGATGAGGATTTTGCCGCTTTCGCCTGGTAGGTAAGTTGCCTACGTTATGTAGACATATTTACCCCCGCTCTAGCTCTGGTATTGCTTTTGAACGTCACTACAACCCCACGGGGCCAGACACTGAACCAGAAGATGTGCATGGTCTGGAGGTTGGGTAGCAAATGACTCCTTTTAAGGACAGTTGATATTGCTGCTGCAAACAAACCCAAAGTGGATCTTGTTTATGGAAATACCCCGGTTATTATCTGGCATCTGGTGAGGACTGAGAAAGACTACTTCTGATAGTCTGATACTGGACAAACGGCGCAAACTGTCATTCTGCTGCCACAGCAATAGATAATGGGGCCAAGGGAGACCCCCGGATCCCATTATTCTTTGCAACCTCTCCGCATTTTGGAGAGAGTCAATTCCCCCCGACTCGTTTGCGGGGTGAAAATGTCCACTTACTCGTTCGTTTGGGTGGTTAGTCTGGGGCGGCCGGACTTAACCGGGCGCCGTGCATTGATGAATTCTTCCAATATCATCTTCAGTAACGAGTTACCTGAGCCTTGACTTGCATAACGGTTTAATGTTTATTGTTTTAGAGATAATTCTATCCTTGGGTAATTACCTAGGTGCCAGACGCTCTACACTATGCAGCATCTCGATAGCGCTGAGGTTGACACAGCTGAATATGGACATTATAGAAGTAATTGCCCGACGATTGCCAACTAAGAGGAGTGGAGTGAAGAGAGGGCTTCGCAGCGTATTTCCAAAAATAAGGTAGCGTGGGGTTTTGTCTATGCACGTCCAGTGTAGTGTTGGAAGGAATCTTGTTCGAGATCCAACTCCTATGTATCCACAGGCCAGTACAACTCTCTACATCTTTTCCAACGCCACAGCGCTAGAACCTAAATCCGAGGTTCCACCCGGCGTTTGAAAAATAGTGGCAAAGTTAACACGTCTTTCACATGATGCGGTGTCAGCTTTGCCATGCCACTGTCCAATGACTCTGTACGGATCTCCAACCCATACCCCATAGGACAAAAATTGGGACGCGAATCAGCATTCGTGATTGACTGTGGACCCGTCTCCATTCCGCTCCACATTTGTCTCTCCTCTTGCAGGAATAGAGTTGTGGCCGGTACTTTCTTGTAAGCTTCTTTCAACACAATTTCAACTATTCTGACGACATTAAGTAGCTATGGCTCGAATTGGCGTTAAAATTCCTCAAGTCCCCATAAGACTTGGATATGGTAAATTTACGAGTAATGGTTCTGGATACAGAGATGTTCATTGGGGGGCGAAATGAACTTCCATTCGTATATAAAAGTCCTCAGATACCCCAGCCAGACACATATTTATGAAGGCACGTGAAGGCACGTTCCTGGACATAAGCTGATCATCTCGATCTACTATATCCTTATTGAAGCACGGCCCTATCTCCAGCTCATCCCTACGCAATTGGCCCAACAAGATGGGTTCCGACATCGAGAAACCGTCCTATGACCCTTCCGCTACCTACGTCAACAACAATGTCTCCCAGGACATTGACGTTGACAGCGTTTACAGCTATGCAGAACAGAGGAAAATCATCCATCGTATCGACCGGCGGCTCGTGTCTATGTGCGGCCTGGGCTATTGTATTAGCTTGATGGACCGAACGAACTTGTCAGTGGCTGCAATCGCTGGCATGATCCAGGAGTTAAGATTGGATATTGGCTATCGATATGTTCGTGATTCGCTCTGGAAGAATTCATTATTTTGAGCCAGTTCGTTGTTTTCTAACCGCGCTTGTTTCTCTGCAGTCGCTTGTTGCTCTGGTCTTCTTCATCACATATATTGTCTGTCAACCTCCTATGACGGCAGTCATCCGCAAGGTTGGGCCAAGGATTTTCCTTGGCGTCATCGTGATAACATGGGGAATCTGTTTGATCGTAAGTATTACTGTCGCCCCTGCTTTTAAAAAATTTGCTCCTTTTGGCTGCACTAATCCAATCTGTATTAGGGGTTTGGCCTAAGTAGGAATTGGCATCAACTTACTATTCTCAGAGCTCTGTTGGGACTCTTGGAGGCAGGTTTTTTCCCAGGAACAGTGTACCTTCTATCAACATGGTATTCTAGATATGAGGTTCAAAAGCGCTATTCCATCTTCTACCTGATCGGTTGTGTGGCCAGCGCACTTTCTGGCATCCTTGCGTTCGGCTTCAGCCAAATGGCCGGCTTACGCGGTTACAGAGGCTGGAGGTGGATTTTTATTATGCAAGGCGTGGTGAGTGGCGGCAACTGGTTCTGTCTCTAAAAGTATGGACCACAAAAGCTGACAGTGTCCGTCAGCTAACCGTCATCGTTGGCATCATCATCTACATATTTCTCGTAGATTTTCCCGACAAGGCTCACAAAGCCTGGCGATTCCTCACCAAAGAAGAATGTGCCTTCGTCATACGACGATTGAACAAGGATCGAGGCGATGCCGATGCTGAACCATTTAGCATAAGGAAATTCCTCCGCCCCGCTCTAGACTTGAAGATCTGGGCCTTTGGAATGATATTTTTGTATGTTGCCTCTCCTTTGCTCCGTTTTTCTTCCCTTTTTCTCCTCTGGTATTTCTGAAAATTCCCCACGTCATTAACCATATTTCTACGACAGCTGCTTGACCACCGTAACTTACTCGATCGCCTATTTCCTACCCATCATCCTCCACAACAATTTGGGCTTTAGCATCGGTGCCTCACAATGCCTCGTCGCGCCACCGTTCGTCCTGGCAGGAATTCTCATGTTCGTCACCTCCTACCTAGGTGATAAGCACCAGACACGCGCGCCTGTCCTCGTCTTCAACAGCCTTATCTCTATAATTGGCCTGCCGATCATGGGCTTTGGAAGGATCAATGCTGTTCGGTACTTCGGGGTGTTCCTGGCGACTGCGGGCGTGAATGCCAATATTCCATGCACCCTTGCTTACCAAGCCAACAATATTCGCGGTCAGTGGACAAGAGCATTGGCTAGTACCACGCTCGTAGCAATGGGAGGCATTGGGGGCATTGCAGGAAGTCTGGTTTTTAGGTCGCAGGATGCGCCGGCTTATATCCCAGGAATTTACGCTTCCATCACGTGAGTTTCTATTCCCGTACAAGCTTCAACTAAGAACGCCACAGGCCCTTGAGTGGAAACTTGGCTTGCTAACACTAGTGTTTCCGCAAACCCTAGTTGTCAGGTCCTCCTCCTGATCATCGTTGGCATGTTAAGCCTTTATTTCTGGCGGTGCAACAGAAAGGCGGACCGCGGGGAACTTGTCATCGAGGGATCTCCTTCTTTCCGCTATACAATATAGATCATCCAATAACGATAATGCGCGTTACTGGTAGCGAGTATCAACCTCTTACCCTGCACTTTTGTTACATATTTTTAATTTAGGCTGTACATTTCACTCGAGCAGTGGACTTCATCTAGAACAGCAACTCTGGATTTGTTTTCGCATCCCGCGCTTCGTCTCCGGAGATTACAGCACCAATATTGTATCTTTCGTTGTTGAACTCTTGCCGTTTACTTTTTCAAAAGGTAGAAAGGAAACGTATCTATAGGTCCCAGAGATCCCATTGAGATTCGAAAGGATTTCTTCGGTGAAATTTGGGAGGGAGTAAACAAACAATATTGTTGTTGCTAGAATGAACCGGTGTCGAAATATGACTTTAATATCCCCTTTATCAACAAGTTATCTTAACTTTATTCTAACTGAGCACATGAAAATTCAGTGGTTCAGGGTGGTTCAGGGGAGGGTGAGGTAGTTCTAGAGAGGGAACAAGCGACATTAACAATGAGGCCAAAATAAAAGCCAGTATTTCAGCCAGTACATCGATGGCAACCATGTGGAAAGCGTGAATAAAGCGGAGATATGAACAAGCAAATTTCGGCCCTCTAGACTGTACGTATTACAGACATTCTCACGACATCTAGCAACGAAAAAGACCCTTAAAAAGACCGAACGAGTGTTTAGAGGATCGCTTAACTGGCTTGGTGACTCTGTCGCAAAGGGCTCATTTAATAGCACAGCTAAATCCACACAGAAATATCCGAAACCCGATCCTTGCTAACCCGGCAAATTTAGTTAAATATTTATGAATGGCTCGAGATCACATAGCCATATTCTACATCGATTCGGAGTACGCTGCCAGCAGATCCAATAACCGCAACGAGGTAAGAGAATAGAGTTGACCCGAGATTATTTAAAGAATCTCGGGGTCAGAGAGCAGGGACGCCCCTGACGGGTCTGCAAGTAGGTCAATGTGTCTTCTGATCCCCAGTGCAATAGTAACTAATACTTTAGGGAGACACGTAGAGTAGGAGTTCATCCGAAGAATATGTCAATTTCATTTTAATCTCCCTTTCAGCAAGGAGAGAACAGGGGACGTTCGATAGAGCCCAGTTCTTATGTTTATATTTCGAGCATCCCGTGGCCCAAGGTCGGATCATCATCTGGGCTTTGCACTGACAATGAGTGTGGTGCAGACGGAAGCCCATGACACTGGAGTGAGACCGGTTCGATTGGAGAGTTGCATCAGGGACAGCGGAGACCTGGCAGACAGCATGAGCCAATAGTTAGTAAAGAATGAAGGACCAATCAATGTTGATGCACAAAAACCAGTCCTTATGGGGTGAGTGAATTGATGAACTATGTAACTTACCAGGTACGATGTGGTGTAGTCATGTTGTGCAGGCAAATCTGATGGATTGATAGAATGCCAGACACAGCAGAGCAATAGCCAGCCATAGCCAGTTTCATCCTGAATGAGGCTGGGTTTCTCAACTAATTAATTAAGTTAACTTCCAGACAGCTGTGATCTCAGCGCACTTCAAGGTCAGTTAGTTTACTTATCTGATAACTCATTTCTTCGAGGGGTAGTTAGTAAACTGAAGCATATATATATATATTGAAGATTTAAAATCTCAATCAACATATTTTGCCTTGTCAGTGTAGTTAACTGCCTCCCCCTTTTAGTTAACTAAATCAAAGACCCTGTTGTACACTTGGAGAGCCCTCTCTTTTCCTTCAACAATAACGAGTTAACTAGCACTCCAGCTATACATATTGAACGCGTCCCGTCCTTCTGCCCCCGTCCTCGGACTTATGCTGACAACATCAGGTTGACTGGAGTGGCGTGCGTCATTTAGTTGCGGAGTGTAGTTACGTCTCCAGGTAGTTATGCGCAAAAGTATGCGCAAAAGTATGTGCAGAAGCATCTATTGATGTCACAAGCCAGCATAACGACTCCGTCCGGTTCTGACAGACCTCGGAATTATCTCCCCAAGCTCAACCCCACTAATTACATAGCTAACCAATAACTAACTACTCGGTAGCTAACGTAGTTGAAGTAGTTCACTACCCTGTCAGGCAGCGCGGACATCCCCGTGGAGTCGTGGATCCCCGGTCCCCAAGTATCTCGCAATGCCACATTGACTGAACAATGAGTCAAGTCCCTGGTGCACAAGCGCTATCCTGCGCGATGATGCTACCCTGGGATTCACCGGCTGAAATTGCCGTGTCTGTGGTTGGCTGTCTTGCCAACTCCCGAGCATCCCAAGCCAAAATCATGTTACAAGTTGGAGCCGAGTTTGAGTCGAAGTCCGCCTGTATATTCATGGCGCTCACCAATCGGCATTCACCAAGGGTTTCGCTCATCGTGTACCCCACGGTCCACACTCGGAACGCCATATTAATCTCACTACTTCTGTTGTATATCTGATTCAGACCGCGAAACCGGGAGAGCATTTCCTGAGTCCTAATACGCCACCAATCTCTTGCGGCAGGGGAGTTTGGAGTAGTTATCAATCAACAAGCTTTCTGGTTTTTTAATAATAGTAAAATATATCCATCTCAGCGCAAAAACACACCAGCAGCAGAACCAGCGAGATAATTATAGCAGTTGACATCGATATATTAATCCAGCTCCGACCACTTCGGCATCGGGCCCTGTCTTAGAGTTGACAGCGCTAGGAGCAAATCGCAGCTCGTCAGATTGGGGTCTTTTGCCCTGACTGGATAGCTGTTTTTGGAACTATTCCAGCTCATTATTCCTATGTAGAGAATTTCGGCCTGGTGTGGGGTTTTACGTTAGTCAAGTCGTACATGAAGGTTGCATCGACTTCAGCTCTTGCAAATATCCAGAAACAAACAAAAGAAAGAAATAAGGTGTATACATTGAATCCGACAGAACTTTGGGTAGAGCTGCCGTCACTCACCTAGTTACGCTAAACCTAACCACCTTTCATTCGGCAGTTCGCTTTGATGGGGATCGTCGGCTGAAGTCCCCCAAAAAGGCATCATCCCTGCTCAGCCGTTTTTGAGCAAAGGCCCCTTGGGCTTTTCTGCCAGCCTGCACAAAAGGAGAGTCTCCTACAAACCCGTTAAAAGCCCGCTTCCCCTTTTCCGAAGTTTTCATGACAAGCGCGTCGTGATGGGCCATGTCTGGGAGTCAATGGGGTTGAAAATTACATGTATGTTGCAGCTCATAACAATTGGGGGCCCTTGTTAGACACCCCGGAAGGTAAATAACTGGGCATATGCACTTGGGTATCGGGTATGCGGTCAATCGAGAGGATCCAATGGCTCGAAAACATTCTGCACTGAATGCAACATCAAGCCGGATGGACGATCGTCTGACTTCAAACTATCTAACGCCTGGGCCTGAGGTGGCTGCTCCGGGATTGTATGAGCTGTATGCTTGTTGCCAGAGGAGTACGGAGTAGTTACATTGCTTTTAAAAAGGCCCTGTTTCCCCATTTCTTCTTCGTTTTTTGATCGCCTCCATTTCCCCATCGAGCATTGTGCCGCTCTCTCTTTGGGTGATTTTATTTTATTTTTATTTTTTTCTTTTAATCTCCCGCCAATTTCCCCATTCTTTTCTTTCTCCTTCTCCTACACGACTACACACCGCGAGGGGGGCTTGAAGGTTGGGAACTGTTTGGATCTTCACCATGACGGGCACTGCAGACGTCTCCCGCGTGGAGGCGCCCGTCACCGTGAGGGCGTACCTGATGTGTGCTTTTGCCGCCTTTGGTGGTATCTTCTTCGGTTATGACTCAGGGTACATCAGCGGAGTGATGGGCATGCCGTACTTTATCGAGTTGTTTACTGGCCTCAAGCAATCAGATTTCCTGTCAAACTCCAATAAATTCTCCCTCCCTTCATGGAAGAAATCTCTAATCACCTCTATTCTATCTGCCGGAACATTCTTTGGTGCGATCATCGCTGGTGACCTCGCAGATTTCATCGGCCGTCGCACCACCATTGTTGCAGGCTGCGGTGTCTTCATCGTCGGAGTCGTACTTCAAACAGCCTCAAGCGCCTTGGGTTTGCTTGTTGCTGGTCGCCTGATTGCTGGATTTGGTGTTGGTTTCGTCTCTGCCATTCTCATTCTCTACATGTCTGAAATTGCCCCAAAGAAAGTTCGCGGCGCAATAGTTTCCGGATATCAGTTCTGTATCACCCTCGGTCTGCTGCTTGCTTCTTGTGTCAACTACGGTACCCAGAACCGGCGAGATACTGGTTCCTATCGCATACCGGTTGCTCTTCAAATGCTCTGGGCCATAATTCTGGCTTCTGGTCTCATTATGCTTCCCGAGTCGCCACGTTACTTTGTGAAGAGAGGGAACAACAAGCGGGCCCTTGAGGTGCTCTCTAAGTTACGAGGATATCCCACCAACTCGGATTTCATTCAGGAGGAGCTTGCTGAAATCATAGCAAATCATCAATACGAACTACAGATGGTTCCCCAGGGTAGCTACTTTAACTCATGGATCAACTGCTTCCGTGGCGAGCTGTCCAACCCATCCAGTAACCTGCGCCGAACCATCTTGGGGACTTCACTGCAAATGATGCAACAGTGGACCGGTATCAACTTTATATTCTATTTTGGCACGACATTCTTCCAAGATCTCCGTACCATTGACAACCCATTCTTGATAGGTCTTATTACAACCCTGGTCAACGTTTGCTCCACTCCAATCTCCTTCTGGGCCATTGAAAAGTTCGGCCGACGGCCCTTGCTCATCTGGGGTGCAGTTGGCATGTTCACATGCGAGTTTATCGTTGCAATTATGGGAGCTACAGCTGGAAAAGATCCCCAGGTGGTTAAGGCAATGATTGCTTTTATCTGCCTTTATATTTTCTTCTTTGCCAGTACCTGGGGTCCTGGTGCATGGGTCGTCATTGGAGAAATATTCCCTCTCCCCATTCGTTCCCGTGGTGTTGGTCTTTCGACAGCATCCAACTGGCTGTGGAATTGCGTATGTCCAACTCTTTACCCGGGTATTTTACGTACGCTTCCCTTTCTCAGTACGTTTTACTAACCTAAGTCGAAATAATCTTCCAGATCATCGCCGTCATTACTCCCTACCTCGTTGGAACCGATAAGGGTAACCTTGGCACCCATGTCTTCTGGCTTTGGGGTGGCCTCTGCGTCGCTTGCTTCGTCTACGCCTACATACTTATCCCTGAGACCAAGGGACTTACTCTCGAACAAGTCGACCGCATGCTGGAAGAGACTACCCCACGTACCTCTTCTAAATGGGTTCCTCACTCTACCTTCGCGGCTGATATGGGCTTCACGGAGAAGGACACTGTGGTGCAGGAACTTAATCTTACCCTCGACAAGGCGAAGGTGTAGTGGATGGCTGGCTATAAAGGCGGGACGATGACACTTCTCAGCTACTTTTAACTCCATCATGTTTGCCGCTCTAATTAACTCACTGAAATTCCCTTCTTTTCTTCTCTTGGATGTCCTTAGTTTTGTTCATATCCCTACTCTCTATGTTTTGAGACTTTTTCATTGCTACAAAGCTTGTATATATTTTCATCTGGTGTCCTCTGGTTTCTTGGTGAGCTTTTGATACCAGTGCTGCGAAAGCTGTTAGTGAACGCGCTATAAGCCAACGATACGATAATGCAGGCATCAGATGCATCGATGTATGTACGAGAGTTCTATTTGCTCTAGTTCTCCTCTACCCCATCAGTTGCTGCCATACCAAGGTCAAAACAGCCGAGCACTAAAAAGTTCTGGCTGACTCCCAGTTAAACTCATGCTGACGCACGCCACAACGGCTGGGTGGACAGCTCCTAGAGTCCCCGGTCTTAAGTGCAAATTCTTCAAAGAGACAGATTTTTCGGTATTCGCTGCCTCGAAGAGCTTAGCTTTGTCTGAGCACTCTCCAAGGTTCTCCCATGTATCCCTGCTCAGGCCCGTGTAATTTATCTTTGAAGGAATTAGTGGTCACTTGTAACTAATTTATCGAACGGCGCTGCCTGACCTTCTTATATTGAGCCAGCATCATCCGTGCATACATAGCTCACCTTATCGATGTGCTTGGCTAAGCAAGCATGAACTGAGCAAAATCGTGGAACAGCACAAGGATTAAATCCCCAGGATTCCAGCCTTTCTCCAAGGATTTCTAGACATATGACAAGAGGGGTAATTAGCTATAAGAAATAACTTATCACTTGATCAAATAGCTCAAGACACATGTGTTCCTTGTTAAACGCCAACAGCAACCCAATTTTTACCTCCCCCTTCCGGTCGATTGGTCGCGCGACCAACTTTGATGCTGGATATGCGTTTTTTTTTTTTTTTTTTTTTTTCACAAAAAATCTGGGTTAAAGGGACATGTGCTGGCCAAGGCGTAACACATACCCCTGATTGAGTGGCCCGTTGAGAGTCAAGAGAGGTTCTCTATTCCGCATGTAATAACTAACATGCCTGTATTTGGCTGTTGAGACGTTGAAGATGGAAAGTCAGTGAGGCAGGATGGAGAGTGTCATGTAGATCTAGATGCAGATCTGAGCAACAGCAATCTAGTTCGTGCTACACTTTTTGTTGGTGTTATTATTATTGTGCATTTTTCCACACTCATAGTTCCATGCAGTCCGTCATGAAATCAATTTCAAGCCCAAACTCGAACAAGTTCAACTGCGGCTGCATCATGCCCAGACCTCCATGACTTGGTTGTATCTCAAGCGTAAATTCGACAGCATAAATCGTCTCTCACTGCAAATGAAGGTGGACGTAGTATTCTTCTCGTTATCATTTGAACAACAATGTTTCGAAGCTTGGAAGGATAAAGACTGATTATGTATCCACGAAGCACGTAGATATACCTAGCTGCATGTAACTGGTTATCATCTCCATTTTCTTTCCTTTCCGAGCCATCAATCCAACACCTAAACTCCCGAGTGTTCTATGATGAAACTATAAAAATCATGCATGTCTTGAATGAAACATGTTATTGAAACCCAAGTCCTTTATGAGAAAACATTGTTGCGGACGATTGGAGTGGAGTTTGTGTTGTGTGGTTCTGCGGGTCAGGTCCACATTGTATCAATTTCATCACCTTAACCCAGTACCAAATTGAATCCCCAAGGCCAGAATGTTTGGACTCAACATGTACTCCTTGCAGTCACTGTACGGAATACATCTATCCCTGTTCTGTTTGGACGTTCGGAATTTTTACAATTTTACTAAGGTGTTGACCTATCGACAACATGGATTAGAGTCTGGAATACCCCTGGCCATCTATCATGTACAAGAAAAAAATCCATCCCATAGATCATCGTGAATGAGATAGAGAAACCACAAATTCCATGTTTTGTATAATATAATTCACCTAAGAGCAACCTAGTTATACAGCACTGTGTGGACAGACAACGTAATGATGGGGATAACAAGAAAGAGAACAGAAATAGAAGCAGAAATATAAGCCGCTAAGAGGGTAAAAACAATAACCGGGGGAAATGAAAGAAAAGAGAAAATTTGTGGGGATGAAAAATCGGCCTTTTCCCCGTTTCCCGTACCCTGCGTGAATTTTCATCCCGCCAACCCAGCCACCTTTACCATTATAGCGCCCTAGAATGAAAGAGAAGTAACAAGAAGCAAGGAGGAAGAAAATTAACAAAGAGAACAAGTAAAGGTATGAAAAACAAGGGCATGTGTAGGCATTGCGATATACCACCTAACATGAATGAGAATGAAGGTAAAGAGGTACTAGTCTTCCAGGCATTATATATCTTCAAAAAGTGAAGATATAATAATTGTGCCACCATCACTTCCCACATTCAAATGCAGTTGCCTCATGTAAATCAGTTGTGGTTCAGTGCAAGCCGCACACGCAAATCCCAAAAAGAAGGCAAGCGCATAGATCATAAAAGTCAAGCCATGACAAACAAGACTGAGAAGGATAAAATGTATCGACTTCAAAGAACACCCTTGGAACAAATTTTTGTGCTATTGATTAAAAATGTGTTCACTTAACATGTAGAGGTGCCTTTTTCTGTTTGCCATTTGGTCGTTCATATGTTTTGTTTATGCTTCACTCTTGTTCTTCTTCTTCTGTTCCACCTTGAGAAGTAGCGCCCGGTTAATACGTGGTAACACACCTCCAAACGCGATGGTAGCGCGGATGAGAGTGTCCAATTCTTCATCGCCTCGAATCGCCAGCTGAAGATGGCGAGGTGTGATACGCTTGACCTTGAGGTCTTTGGCGGCGTTACCTGCCAGCTCGAGAACTTCAGCGGTAAGGTATTCGAGAACAGCAGTAACGTAAACGGCAGCTATAATACAGGTTAGGAACAATTTGACAAATCAAACTAGGGGTTTTAATCGCATTTATCGAGTGCGGGTATGAGGTTGATGATCAGGGAGATAAATAGAGAGGAACAAATAGGCAACAGTGGGCGAAGCGTCAACAAATGACTGTATACCTTTGGCACCAACGCGCATCTTATTCTGGGTGTTGTTCTTCAGAAAACGCTTGACACGGCCGCATGGGAACTAAATACATGAATTTTCTGTTAGTTTTAAAGTTTGCAGTAGGCAGCGTGTAACTCAGAAATAAAGATATTGAAACATGTCCATCTCGCAAACATATAAGGAACAAAACATTGATAATCCACGATCCCTAAGAGGGGAAATGGCGATATGAAGTCCAACAGACAGTTCCATCACAGTTTCTTGTCGCTCGACACGCGTAAGTGATGGAGTCATCGCGGAAGAAGTTGGATAGGCGAATGAAGATCGCTGGGGAGCCAACAACCGGAGGGGGATGCAAAGATTGGGCAGCCTAAATGGATGAAAATACGAACCTGCAAGCCAGCCTTTGCGCTGTGAGATTTCTGAGTTTTCCCCGCAGCATCCTTTGGAGCACCCTTGCCACCAACAGACTTTCCCTTACCGCCAGGCATATCGAAGAGATGGGGAATATCGAGTCGCAGAAATGGGTATGTCGCGTCGGGAGATGAGCAGAATCGATGGCCGGTAAGTGTGGACGAGGAGACGTAGTGGATGGGTGGCAAAGTTCGCGTTGTTGATGAGATGGAGATGAGAAACCAACAGCGAACCTAGAAGAGGGTCGCTTAAAGGAAAGGTAGAAATAGCGTTGCTGTACTGCGCTAGTCCTAATTGAGGAAAGCCTCAACCCTTCAAACAGCAAACAGCGCAGTAAGTAAGGCGGCAAAATGCTGTGGGGAATAACAGCACAATGCAGCGGCAGAGGGGAATTCCCCTGCCTGTGAAATATAAATGAGAACCTAGTCTTCGTATCTAGTTAATTTCCAGACATCTCCTCGGCGGCAGCGCCAGGTTCACTGGGGCATATCTGCCCAAACATGACAGGCGGAGTGTGCCTGTTAAATACCTATATTGGTGGTTAGTGAAACACAAAACAAAATGCCAAAAGTGATGTAGCCTTCAGGAAAGGGCCAATATAGTGGTTTCAACCCGGCATATACCCGAGTCCACTGACAAGTCATGGCTTAATGCTCCATTCTCATCCACAGGGGATATCAAGGGTGAAGTTGAAGCAGTTGGCTGAAGAAATTGAGATATGTGATTATGTCATCACTAGTTACTCCACATGATAATTAACTTATTTATTTCAAGTCTAGTGAGTTTACCTGCAAGACAAAATTCAACCGTAAAAGAACACCACATCCCAGCCTGGGGAACAATGAACTTGAACTTAGGAGGAAATAGAGTGTGCCCTGGGAACATACCTTAAGGCATAGTTATACCTTGTTCATTATAACACTGAATCATGGTGAATGGAAGGTGAATGGAATTCTTATTCCTATACCTCTCACATTCCCCTCGAAACGGAATTTTCCATGGTTTATAACACATTGTCAGGAGACAAAGCCAATAACCAACCACTGACAGTGTCAAGTGAACTATGTATACTATCGTTGTCGACTTAGAATGACAAAATCCTTTCTAGATTCTCTTCTATCACTCTCATACCAACCCATGTAGTGTAGCGATATTGACTACATAAATATAATATATATCTCCTTTACGTTTTGGATGCGGGGAATTATATACACAAAATAACCTCTCTCACATGCCTGAAACCTCCTCCGCATTTCCCTTTCAACAGAGACAATATCATCAACATCAACCAGCGACACTAAAATATACCAATACCATTCCATATTACACAATTCCCACCTAAACAGCCCGTCCGCAAGGAAAGCAGAACTGCCAATCCTGAAAACACGAGAACCAACCAAAAATAGACCAAAATGTGCGAAGACATCACTGAGATCTACGACTTCTGCAGACACCGGGGCGAATCCTATGTCCGACCATGTTTAAATGGCGTGGATTGCGAAGAACTCAGTTCGATGGACGTGATCATCATGTCGTTTTGCCCGTGTTGTTTTGGAATGGCAGTCGACAATGACCAAAATGAGGAAGGTGGTGGAGATTGCACGGGGACACAAATATGGGGTTTCTTGATGGCGTACTGGTAATATCGATGTTGGGGTTGACACTGGCCATGGCTGCTGAAATAATGTGGATGGGCTGAAGTCAGAGAGGTGATAGTTAGATGATCGTTAGATGGACCGTGAGAGAACGATCGTGTGGTGCGAGAACTGGGAAGGAAACGGAAGGGCACTCTCGGAAATACGGCATGCTGGTAGAGTCCAATACTGCATTACATGTTACATACCTTGAAATAATTATGATATTTGTTATCGGCTAGGTATTTGAATTGATTATATGCAGACAGAGTAAGGCGTTGGAGTCTGGAATCAAATCATTTTGCTTGGGGTATCAAGGAGTTTGCATTGAAGACCTGTCATTGATGGGAGCCACTTAGCAGAAAGAAATCCGTTCCAGCATGAGCTTGCTGGGTATCTAGCAATTCGTCCTGGGGCGGGTCTTGGACTGATGAGGGGATCATGCAGGTAAGTGCTTCCGGGAACGGTGTTCCCATACTGTTGCCGCTATGAAACCCATTAAAATGCTTAGGTTTGTCTTTCAGATGCAGCGGCACTCCCAGTGGAAGGGTCCTAATCCTTGGAAGTTTTTCGACGCCCACGTCTCCGGATGCTGCTATGTAATCTAGCTTTTGCAAGGGTCTGAGTGTATTGTAATTCATTGGATATCTCTGCACGCCAGGAAGGACGTACATACCATGCCAATGTAAGATAAAGCTAAATGATCGGATGTATCTTGCCCGATGTATCCTAATAACAACCATCCGATGAATCCAGGCCTTGTAATCCGCAGTTTTCCGACGCCAAAACTAGGAGCTACCAATCAATCTCCAGAAAGGGAGGTATCTAGGCAGCTATATCTTCGAAAGACTCTTGGGATTTTGGGGTTTTGGAATGGATGCCTGCGTCTTCGGAGATTTGTGCTGCTATTCAAAGAAAGCACATCTGGTGATGGCTAACATTTTGCCAGGAACTGGATATGGCATGGAGTATAACCTCTGCATCGATACGTAGTTTAATCTGGGCAGAGAGAAGCTTGAGGCATGCACAACCAGGCCTGTTGTTGCTCGTCAACACTGCACACGCATCACCTTAATGAATAACTCCATGTGCAATTACTCTTTGGTAGTTGGAAAAGCTGTCGGAAAAGCTCGGGCCAAAGCTGCAGCCTCGGGTCATATCACGTGATCTGTTTTTCTCTTGGGGCCAGCTGTCGCTTCCTCAAAGTCCGAAGGCAGCTAGCTGCCAAAGAGAAAAGAAAAATATTCGAATATCGCGACGATAACGACGACGAACAGCGATTATCAAGATCCCCAACATCTCTCCTTTATCCCCTTCCGGGATCAACTACACTTGCTGCTCTCTGTCCAGTCAGCATGGCTCTCAGTCCGCAAATGTAAGCCAGTCTTTCAGCTTGGTGATAACGTTATTGCTCCCATGGAGACGAGAAAGCAGACGGAAGAGAGGAGAAGGAGAAGAGAGATAAGAAGGAGGAGGAGGAGAAGAAGAAGAAGAAGAAGAAGGAAAAGAAAACGAAAAGAAATGCAAGCAACATGTCATGGCTAATACGTTTCCGTTCCATATAGAACAAACCTGGTGATCATCCTTGTAATGATGCAGGTGTCGAAGAAAATTCCCTTTGACGATCCCAACGTACTCTTGAGTGTGCGCACCATGTACATCGCGTCCAACATCTTCATCCTGTGCCTGTACATATACGTGCGATCACAAATAAACAAGAAGAAAGGTTCCTAATCTCCCGCGCCACCCACCCCCATCGTCTGTCCTGTCATAAATTCAATATCTAACCGAATTATTTCCTCCAGACCTAAAAACCCTCAAATACGTTGAGCCCGCTCCGATGGGATCGCAAGAAGAACCGCGGCCGGTCATCACAACGGTCCAGGACTATGACAAGCAGCAACTCCGCAGCCTACTCAAGTCCCAGCTGATGGGCGTCGGCATGATGTGTGTCATGCACCTGTACTTCAAATACACAAACCCGCTCCTGATCCAGTCGATTATCCCCGTCAAGTCTGCGCTGGAGGGCAACCTGGTCAAGGTACATGTGTTTGGCCAACAGGCTAAGGGCGACCTGGAGAGGCCGTGGAAGGTTGGGGGTGGGTTTATGGGGATGGCTCAGGGCGAGGTTAAGAAGGACAAGGCCAGTGTAGAGTCTGCGGAGAAGTCCTGGAGAGGGGGCGCGAAGGAGGAGTAGGAGGAACTGCTTGGTGGAGGACAAAAAAGGTTGGGAGGGAGGGGGAGAAGTGTCCATTAGAATCCAATATGAAGTGAACGCGCTAACGTGGGGGTGCGGAATACTTTACGGATAAGAAAGTGTAGCCTCGTTTTCTCTTCCGTCTTGTCGTCTTGTTGGGATGGGTGTTTCATGGCGACTGAAGTTCTTAAAACGATGGACTTACAATCTTACCGACCGGAGTGATCACAGACCGCAACCCCTCTTCCAAAAGGCAATTCATGGGTATATATCTCTTTCTCCCTGATGCGACATGTATACCGGGCAGCATGCGTTTTCTTCTTCTTTTTTTTTTTAAACCTCTTTTTATTCATGGGATGTCTTAGTTCACCACATTATTACTTCAGAAAATCAGATAGAGGGGTTCATGAAATTATTACCCCGATATTTCATTCCGTCTGTCCAATAGGAATAAAGATGCGAGACTGAAACAGAACATTCCGGACTGCAACCAGAGCTTGGACCCGCAGTCGAATTTTCCAGCTTTTTTTTTTTTTTGTTCCCTTTCTCCCAGAAGGTTGCTCAGCAGGAGAAGTTTGTTGGGGCAAGATATCTAATTACAAGAAACTGGATCCATCTCACATGAGGCGCCCTGCAGCCTCAATCAATCCCTTCTTTGAGATGTTCGGCGAGAAGATTAAGTGGAAGGTACGGCACAGGAGACGGAGAAATGGTTTCTGCGAGCCCTGGTGAACTATCCGGACGGGTAAGGTTGGGAAGGCCAACCGTGAGCAGTGGGAACCTTTGGGACCCTTCTTGTGAGGGTTACGTAAGTCATCCAGTAACTAACTAGTTAGGTTAGTTAACTAGTTAACTAGTTAATAAAGCTAATTTAGTTAAGCTACCACTTCATGATTATGATCTAGCTCTACGGGAGGACAGAGGAGCCGAAATCTATATGGCGAGGCACGTGATTAGGGCAACTGGCCGCAGTATCCACCTAACAACCCACAACATCCATTCTCGACAACACAGCACACCGGGTCTGCTGTGTAGCTACGGGATGCGGTAACTGGCGAGCAACTAGGCCGATCGTTAAATAAGAGTAATTGTAAATAAATAATTGCATAGGAAATGCTAGATTATAAATTTCAATTATTCAGTCAATTGATTAGTTAGTGGCTCCCGTTGTTAGCTAACTATTTCCCCCTCACATCCTCCAGCCCACTCCTAATTCTAGCTCATAGCTCACCAAGAATATACTAAAATATCACTGCTGTTCATCTTAGGGACATAACATAACACCAAAGTCCCAATAAATACTGCAAGGCGGGTGTTGCGCGGGAACTTCAAAGGCAAGCCAAGTCGTAGGGGAGAATGGGGGACAAAGCCGGCGACTCGGCAAGATCGGGGAAACTGGGCCAACCTCCAGATGATCTCCGGCTCTGTCACTTCTCATTGGCTGGGGGTTGGTGGGAAAGGATATTGTGGAATCCCTGGAATGGGATAGAAGAACATGGACACTGTTTGGTTAGGGGAGAGTCTGAAATATATGACAACTATTTTTAACTGAGATACGTAAGTAAAAAGATATAGACCCATAGTATGAGATAGATACATGGATGAGACATTACATATAGAGACAGAATTAGGGGATAGATACCAGGATAATAAGTTATATGTATGCCATCATGCAATGTTTTAGTTACACACATATTTCCCCATTGCTTCCCGAGTCATTGCGTCAAGCACAGCCAGGGGGCCCCTCCCTATGACGAAGTCCACCCCCGGGTTGCTCTTTGCCTCCTCAACAGTTCTTAGCAGCAATTTGCTAGTCAAGTCCGTGGTATATATATAATTAAACTCGGGCCCATCCCACCTTGTTTTCTTTCCCTTCCTTCCCCTTCCCTTTGATTTTCTTCTCTTTTTTCTTATCCACTTCAACCTCTCTCCCAAAATCTCTCAACATCTCTTACCATTGTCACCTTTCGTATTTGTGAGTCCATCCTCGTTCTCCTTTTGTTGACCCGTTGCTACTACTTGCTACTTCTTGAGCTGCCCCCAGGGCATCCGTCTCATTGCCTGAGCTAGCTAACTACCTAAACCACCCCGCCGATTCCGCTAGTCGTTTCTTCCAACAGTTTCGCTGACTGACATTTTCTCCCCCCCCTCATCTTTTTTGTAGCCAATCCAACCCCAAAATAAACAACAACCAACCATATAACCAAACAAGCAACAGCTATAATGGTCGTCAAGGTATGTATATGTGCTATTTCTGCGCACCTGTCCACCTGCAGTGCTGAAGTTGAAATCTAATTCTTCTGTCTCTAGGTTGGAATCAACGGCTTCGGTCGCATCGGTCGCATCGTATGTGTTAACCTCTCACCTCAACTCAACCCAGCTTCGATCAATCTTCCTGGTTTGCTAACTGTATATTCAAGGTCTTTCGAAATGCGTGAGTTCTATCAATTCGTGGTCTTGCTAGATTACGTTGTTTCTGTTTTCGCTGATGAAATCCGCAAGTGTTGAGCACGATGATGTCGAGATCGTTGCCGTGAACGACCCCTTCATTGAAACCAAATATGCTGTACGTGACACCTAATCCTTCAGGCGATTGATAAAGTAGAAATGGCCACAATCTCTATGATCAGAAACTGATTCAAATTAAATCAATCATAGGCGTATATGCTCAAGTATGACTCCACACACGGCCAATTCAAAGGCGATATCCAGCACAGCAGCAGCAACAACCTGACCGTCAACAATAAGACCATCCACTTCTATCAGGAAAGGGACCCCGCCAACATCCCCTGGGGCAAGCACGGCGTCGACTATGTCGTCGAGTCCACAGGCGTCTTCACCACCACTGAAAAGGCCAAGGCCCATTTATCTGGTGGCGCCAAAAAGGTCATCATCTCCGCCCCATCCGCTGATGCCCCCATGTTCGTCATGGGCGTCAACGAGAAGAGTTACAGGCCCGACATCTCCGTCCTCTCCAACGCCTCTTGCACCACCAACTGCCTCGCTCCACTCGCCAAGGTCATCCACGACAACTTCGGTATTGCTGAAGGACTCATGACCACCATCCATTCCTATACTGCCACCCAGAAGACCGTCGATGGCCCTTCCCACAAGGACTGGCGTGGTGGCCGCACTGCGGCTCAGAACATCATCCCCAGCAGCACTGGCGCCGCCAAGGCTGTAGGAAAGGTCATCCCAGCTCTCAACGGCAAGCTCACTGGCATGGCCATGCGGGTGCCCACTGCCAACGTGTCCGTTGTTGATCTCACTTGCCGCACTGAGAAGCCCGTTACATACGACCAAATCAAGGCTGCCGTCAAAGCTGCCTCCGAAGGCGAGCTTAAGGGTATGTCGACACAAAATTATAATCTTTTCACGGTAAATTGTGTGTAAGTGTACCTAGCTAATCCATCTCCCAGGCATTCTCGGCTATTCTGAAGATGCTCTCGTCTCCACCGACTTGAACGGTGACCCTCGCTCTTCCATCTTCGATGCCTCTGCCGGTATTGCCCTGAATGACCGTTTTGTCAAGCTTATCTCGTGGTATGACAACGAATGGGGCTACTCCCGCCGTGTTCTTGACCTTATCGGTAAGATCTTTCTTTTCTTTTCTTTTCTTTTCTTTTCTTTCTTTTTTTTTTTTTTTTTAAAAAAAAAAGAATCTACTCCAAACTACCCCTTTCAAAAGGGTTAACAAGGGAAATCTAACTCCTTTCCTATTCAAGCCTACATCGCCAAGGTCGACGCTGGCAAATAGCAATCAGCAGCAAGCAGCGGGGAGAGAAGCGTTCTCTAAGCCATCCCTTTGATCCAGGAACGATAATGGATCAAATCACTCTCAAAACAGATTCAGACACAGATCAACATTTGAACTCTTTGAATTCTCCTTAATATCTTCCCGCGCCTCTTTTATATAAAATATGTAATCGCCTGCCTCACAGTTCACCCCCTCCCCAAAAAAAAAAATTAAAAATTTTTTTTAAAAAGAATCAAATATTCGTTCCTTCCCTCAGATCCGCTTCTCCATCTGGAAGTCTGTGCAGTAGAAAGAGAAAAGGTGGTTCGTGTGAAATGGGAAAAAGAACGCTTCATCTTTCTTATTTTCGATTGTTTACTTGTTATTAGCATAACAATTATTAGTAGTGGTTAAAAAATAAAAGCGCGGGAGATAACAAGGAATGAGGAGGTAGGACTAGTTAAGGGATGATCCCACGGATAAGAGCTAAAAATGTGCCAGTGTATGGAGAAAAGTTCCCTAGATTCCCTTCATCTGATCTGACCTTATATGCTCTTGGTTTTTAGAATGCATTGGTGCCCCTGAACAATGGTAAGTTGCATTGCCGTTGCCGTAGATTAACTAAACTAGCTACTACTCTCGAAGTATAGTTTAGATGCCGAGATAACTATCGGCGAATGAACACGGATCTTGTTCTTGACCGGGTGTAGGAGTGGAAAGTTACCGGGGACTCGACTAAAAAACCCCTCTATGTTCCATTTATCAGATGATTTCTTTTATTAGCCATTCCGTACATGCCCTGAACCGATATCATCATATTATTATTCCCTCTAGTTAGTTAGGTAACTTATATTAACTTACCATTAACTACTCTTACCGTTACCAGTTCCCCCAACCGCCAACTCCATGTCACGTGGTACATTCACGGAACAATATTTTCCCAGCACCGGAGCACTTCGTCTTTCCCTCTCCGACTTTTGTGGGTTCGCAACTCAGCCACAGCGAACAACAGATTACAGACAACAAACCCCCAAGTCTTCAATATTCTCAACCGCCAACTCATTCAACCAGCTGAGAATTGCCTTTGGAGAAATAAGGCCATTCATATTCAATTGAAAAACCACAGAGTCGGCTGCCTCCTTGCATTGCATTCATCAACATCTCATCTCCCTCAGCGTAACTTACTTTAGGTAGTTATTTACCTCCTTCCCAGGTGTATATCCCACCCGCGCCTCTGCAGACGTGATTGATTTATATCCCTGATTTGTAACGCTTGACACAATTCCTTCCTTGTACTTTTCTTTGAGAAAATATCTTTGTATTTGCTAATTATTCTTCTGATTTGTTTGAGGCCTATTGCCCTGTGTTTAGGATCTAACACAGCATCAACATCAGGAGGGAAAGGGGTTTTTTTTTGTTATTTTTTAAATTTTTAAATTTTTTGTCTTTTTAATTTTATTGCCCCTTTGTTAAATTGCTGTTTTATTTTTTGGGGTCGTCATTAGCGGGTTTCGTTTTCTTTCTTGTATTGATATCCCTTCTGTTCTTCAGTATCATCTGCGGTGTTTTGATGGTTTAATTCCGCGGGCTTCAAATCGAGATTTGAATTATGCTCTGTTGAGCCCTGTCTCTGCTATCCTGCCATACCATTTAACGCGGGAATCAGGATTCGGAAAGCTTTACTTTTCATATTATACATACCATGTCAACCATGGAAGAAGATGAGGATGTCGTCATGGCCGGCATGGCTCCGCCTACCATGATTCCCATTGGCCCCGGTCGTCCTTCGAGTACTACTCCGGAGAAACCTCCCAGCCCTCTGGAATTAAATGGAGTAACAACAGCCCCAGTTCCCGATGAAACACCATTAATCCAGTCATTCCGAGAGAAGCTCCCTATTTCTATAAATATTGCCAAAGACGCCGACTCCCCACAGGACCATGCTACAGTTTCCACCCCTGAAAGGATATCGCCAGAGGAATCCAAATCTAACACAGACGAGGACAGCCTGGTCGAAGAAGATTCCGATTGGCCCAATGACATGGCCGAAGAGAACAAGGGTTTGCCCCTTGCGTCTCTTCCCACAGGTCTATGCTATGATATTCGCATGCGTTATCACTGCGAAGTCAAGCCGACTTTGGACGTCCATCCGGAAGATCCACGGCGAATTTATTACATTTACAAGGAGCTTTGCAAGGCAGGGCTGGTTGAGGATCCCGAGTCTTCAAAGCCGCTCGTCTCTCTGCCGCTACACCGAATACTGGCAAGAGATGCTACTGAGGAAGAGATAGCGTTGGTGCATGATCCGGAACATTATGCTTTTGTTAAAAGCACGAAAGGTGAAGTTATTATTGCTATTTTTATTTCTGCATGTTTATTTTTTTTTAATATATATAGCTTTTCTTGCCACATGAAACAAAAACGAGTGTATAGATGTGATACCGTTGAAAACGAATGGCTAACCCTAACTATGTTTGAAATTTCCACAGATATGTCCGAGGATGATTTGATCGCGCTTGAACACACGCGGGATTCGATTTATTTCAATTCCCTCACATTCACATCTGCCATACTCTCGTGTGGTGGCGCCATTGAGACGTGTAAGGCCGTCGTGGATCGCCAGGTGAAGAATGCCATTGCGGTAATCAGGCCGCCGGGCCATCACGCTGAACATAACAAAACTATGGGGTTTTGTTTGTTTAATAATGTTTGCGTTGCGGCCAGGGTATGCCAGAGAGAGTTCGGAGAAAAGTGTCGGAAGATATTGATTCTGGATTGGTATGTTATGTTTGTCTTGTTCTGGTATCAATCTGTTTCATGTTGGCTAAAAGCAAAAGTGGTGGAAGTTTATGCAGACTGACAATTGATAACAGGGACGTACATCATGGTAATTAGTAATCCGTATTTCGAGAGTTTTACCGTCTTCTCCATCTCACATATATGCAGGAAACGGCATCCAAAAAGCTTTCTATGATGATCCGAACATCCTTTATATATCTCTTCATGTGTATAGGGATGGCTCCTTTTATCCCGGTGGTGACGAAGGTAACTGGGACCGCTGTGGTGAAGGGAACGGATTTGGAAAGTAAGTTGCCCCATTTTGGTAATCAACACTTCACTGCTCTTGTCTTTGTTAGCTCACATCTTCCAGGAATATCAATATTCCCTGGCCAACACAAGGGATGGGTGATGGCGATTACATGTATGCCTTCCAGGAAGTGATAATGCCCATAGCTTATGAATTCGATCCAGATCTAGTTATCAGTGCGTTTTGCCTCCCCGACGGGCGTTTGTATTCTTACACACTAATCTATAATGCTAGTATCTGCTGGTTTCGATGCGGCTGCCGGTGACGAATTAGGAGGATGCTTTGTAACCCCTCCTTGCTATGCCCATATGACCCGTATGCTTATGAATTTGGCTGGTGGTAAAGTGGCTGTTTGTCTAGAGGTAGGTTCTATACTTGAATAACTGGAAAATACCAATGACGCCTAGTTAACCATACGTACTTCAGGGAGGGTATAATTTTAGATCAATATCCAAGTCTGCGCTTGCTGTAACGAGGACATTGATGGGTGAACCGCCCGACCGTCTTTATTCGGCATCTGCATCGAGACCTGCAGTGCACACCGTAAAGAGAGTCGCAATGATTCAGTCAGCGTATTGGAAAAGCATGTATCCGAAAGGTATTTACCGAGGCAACTATATTTCCCATATGAAGCTGCTACTTACATCCGCTGTTGTGCAGGCCCTCCGGAGATATTCCAGGGTAATCGGATGCACGGTAAGGCAACTTTTGGATTCTAACTTGGCTCAGAGGAAACATGTGCTTATCGTTCCTGCAGATATCATACGGCAATACCAAGCGAAACAGCTTTACGATGATTGCAAACTTACAAATCTTTACATATATCGAGACACAATCTCGAAATCATTTGAGAATCAAGTGCTCGCGAGGTAACTATAACGTTTACGTCTGTAAAAGGCACCATTCCGTCCTCCAACTAACGAGAAGTTATTATTGTAGCCAAAATTACGACAAAGAAAATCCACTTCTAGTGATCTTCCACGACCCGTGCGTCAATTGTTTATTATTATTCCTTAAACTTTCCATATAATTCCCATCCAAACTAACATGCATCTTCCTCTATTCCTTCAGTCCTGAACTCATGGGCATTCCACACCCTGTCACCAACATATTGGAACCACATAACTGCTGGATTGTACGTCCTTTAACTAAACAACACCCTACCCCACGTCATGGGAATGGCTAACATGGACGAAAGGCTGATGTCATCAAGGACTATGTCTCATGGGCCATTCAGAACAATTTTGGCGTCATTGATGTCAACATTCCCAAACACATTACTTTATCTAAGGTGAACAGAAAAACCCCCCCCCCCCCCCCCCCCCCCCCCCCCCTTATTTTTTTTTTGAACGTGTTCAAATAAACGGCATTTTCTGACTCCATTTGTTTTTGTGACCCAATAGAAATCGAACACGTACCAAGATGAGACCCGCACACGAATGCAGATGAGTGACCAACTTGCCACGTATCTTTGGGAGAATTATATCGAGTGCGTATTTATTTCCCCCTCCTCTCATTGCGCCTCTCTTCTTACGGAAATTGACCATCTATAATCAATCAAACAGACCCAACGACGCAACAAGCATTTTTTTCCTTGGGGTAGGTGATGCATATTACGGTCTAACAAACCTCTTAGTGAATACAGGTATGCACTTACATCCAGAGGGCAGGGTCGGACGGACCCCTGGGCCATACCAAGCGTAAAGGTACTAACAGCAGCTTTTCACCGTGATCAGAACGAGTTCACGAACGCGTTAATGGTGTCATCTCATTCGTGGCTGAAAACCCCGTCCGCGCTGTCTCGAGCAACACCACCACCTGGTTGTCGAAATGGTATAAAGATGTATGTCTGCATCTACCTTTTATATCTACGCCTAGACCTTCCACTTCTCGGGTACTTCTTTTGTCAACCTCACTAACCACCCACTTATTTCACACATAAATAGAACTCCATGGTCTTCGTCTCGCACCTGCACAGTGTCTGGTCCGGGCCAGAAAACAGTCGCAAGTTCTCGAAACGGCATGGCCGTCTGATCCGCTCACCTAACCGGGGGCTCAATGAGATGCTTAATGCGCATAAGGAGCAAGTGTTTAAGTTCATAGTGGATAGAGTGGAAGGAGCAGGTGTTGAGGAGTGAATTTTTTTCTAAGATTTTCGTTTCCAATTTTAAATTGAACGAGTGGGACTGGCTGTGGAGAATATGGGCGTGGGATGCAAGTGAGTATATTAATGATGCTCCATATAGGTCATCTAGGCGGGGGTTGATTTGATGCAACGATGTGTGATAGTTGGACGGAAACAGATGGGTTAAGAGACCATCTACGAAATAAAACGATAGATAATATATTGCATTAAATTACATTAAATTAAAAACATTGATTCAGCGCAGGAAGAGGGTGTTTAGTTCTTTATTATTATTATTATTATTATTATTATTATTATTATTATTATTATTATTATTATTATTATTATTATAATTATAATTATTTTATTTTATTTATTTATTTATTTATTTTGGAGTCAATGGGCTTTTATTAACTTATTCGGTTCCCAACGATAAAACTAAATCCAAAATTGCCGCGGGTGTCTGGGTAGGATGCTGGAGAACTGAAGAGGATGGTTCTGAAAAATTACAGTAGGCCAAAAGCAATTACTCCGCTTAGAAGTCTGAAAGCCTATTCTTGAGTGCAGGTAACCAGTCCAATGCATCGAGAGATCGAAACTCGGTTTAACGAATTCGAATCTTACGAGTTTTGCTGAGGTTGATGGTTTCGTCGTAAGAACACACTCAGACTTCCGGACTTCAACGGTAGAAGAGGATGAAGTGAGAGGGTGTTTTTGGGCACTGGCAATGAAGTAAAGTATAAAGCCAAAAACCGATGCATGTGTGCTTGAGAAGCATACCCTATGTACTGCCTCGACCAAAAGGATAAGGGAAGGGAAGGGAAGGGAGGAAGAGGCATTTCGTGTCTGGCTGGCTGAGGGAGATGAGCTGCACGAACAGCAGGTAAAGTAAATTCTGCACGTCTGTTTTGTCTCGAGGAAAACGGGGAACAATGGGATATAGCCTCAGACGGTTTATCTAGACGCAACTGCCCATTACCTATGTAATGGCAGGAAGTTTGCCAGGACAGGCGAACCCCCGGGTATCTTAGATATCAGCAGGTAGCCGTTTTCTGCGGCGTCATCATTTTGCTATTTGGGTTGATCCTTACCGCGGTTACGCAGGAGGATAGAGTTTTTTTTTTCCCTCCGGAAGGAGTGTATAGATTGGTATGTGCGATAGGGGAAAGGTGGCTCGGGAATATAGAAGATCGAAACGATGAAGTTCCAAGATATAAGCGGCGGCGGGCGGTGTTATTTGGAGAAAGGAAAATTAGAGCAAAAGATGGATAAAACGAGAAATGTTGCCTGGCACCCAAGAAGAGAAAAACGGGGGGAAGTTGGAGTAAAAAAGAAACTATACCTTGAAGGGGTATCTTTGTTGGCTGGATTTCTGTTGCTGTGGTTGCTGTGTTGTTGATGCGAAAGGTTTTTGTTGTAGGAGGTGAAAAGGGGCTGGCTAATATAAAGATTAAACGAGATATACCAGCAAGGTGGCAAACCAAAATGAGGGTAAATAGAGATGAGAAAGAGGGATCCAAAGAAGATGATTTAGGAGTGGGCAGAGAAAGGAGTATCCAAGGTATTCATTCTATCCAAACTTGGTGAAATGTGTGAGAAGGTTGTAAGAGAGACGAAGGGGAAAAAAGGTGAAAAGGGGGAATTTTTATCCCTAACACTGACTAAGCGAGAGTGCAACCTCAACAAGATGAACGAGACGAGTGAATGGACGAAAGGCTAAGTGCCGCGGTGGAGTGTCAGGCTGGCTTGCACGGTGTAAGGTGATGAGGTGGTTGGGGTGGTAACGGAATGCTGTTGCAAAGTTGTGATGGTGTGTGTGTGTGTGTTTTTATTTAACGCCCGGTTAGTCCACGTGCCTTAAGGGCACGTGATCTAGTAGAGTCCGCGTCGAACTATAGGGCGGGTAGAGCTACGCCCGTAGGCGACTACCTATCTAGTAGCTATCTTACAAATGAGGCAAAAATGGGTTGCGTATTGCTGCACCGGCAGAGCCCATGGGTCGGTTGCCATAGAGCAGAGGTTTTGAGAGGTTTTAGGTTTGTGGGAGGGAGGTAGGGGAGGCGGATAGGAAGGAAGGCAAGGAAGGAGAGAAAGGAGAGGAAAGAGAGGAAGGAGGAGGAGGTGGTGAGGAAGATGGGGGCAAGACAGAGGAGAGAATGGTCTGTGGGATCTGATCTGAAGGTGCGCAACAGCGCATTGGACAGATATTCTGATAGAAGGCTGTTTCTCTTAGTCAGTTATTGAATTCTAGGGCCCCACGCGAGGTTGCCAGTGTCTCGCGGAGATTGTAGATAGGCCGGCGCCACTTTGCTGCTTTTCTTGCAAGAGTGCAATAGTAGAAATGTTCTGGAGTTTTGCTATGTCCGCACCGGCAGTAGCACTCTGCATCTTCATGCTTAAGGTGGCTGTGGTAGGCTGCAAAGTCTCCATGACCTGATCGGGCGGCATAGAGCTTTCCTAATGTGAAGCGTGAAAGTTTTACCTCTGTTGAGGCTCTCTTTAGTGGGATCTCCAGCTCCATATAGTGTTTGGGCTGATTTTTGGCCCAGTAGTTCTCAAAGGCCCGTGTGGTTTGTTCCATAGTGTGTCACTTTATATAAGCTAGAGTGCCTATGCTGTCAGGTTGAGGTACCATGCTTGCACTTGCTGCCTGCGCTGCGGCTGCTTTGACTTCAAGATCTGCCTTTTCATTACCAGCCACGCCTGCGTGGCCTGGGACCCATCTAATGACCACCCTGCTCTGGGTGGCCAATGGGAGCCTATCCCTGCTCTGCCAGGCCTTTATGGCTTTCAGAAACTGCGCGAAGACCTGCTGGCTAGAGGTGTTTGGCACGGATCCAAGGGCTCATGCTACCTCCAAATTGTCTAGGCAAATGTAGACGTTGCTGGCAAACTTCGCCTGAGGCAAGGTGGTGGCTTCCTTTAGGCCCTGCAGGGCTGCCATTGCCTCTGCGTCAAAGACCTCTGCTTTATCCATTGGCAGGTTTCCTGTGGAGATTAGACGGTGTTTGCTACCCCAGCATATAGCCCATCCTGCACCAGTCACACGCTGAGGGTGCTCTATCTGTGAACCATCAGTAAAGACCACCAGATCCAGGGGATTGCGTTGTTGTAGCCAGCTCTTAAAGTCTTGTGCTGCCTGTTTCTTTGTGTGGCCTGCCTCATACCCAATCTGCAGATCTTCTTTCCTGGGAAATCTCATCCAAGGGGGCGTGAGTAGAGGGTCATATGCTTCTATCCCACCAGCATGACTGGACGCTCTAGACAGACGTGTGGTATAGGGTTTGGTGGTAGCTACTTTATTAGAGCGTCTCACTAGCGGGTGCCTCTTGTCAAGCTTTTTGATTCTTACTGCAAATACAGCACGCCGGTTGTCTAGTGTCTCTTTCATTGGCATGATTCCTAGCTCACGGTGTAGAGCTGAAATGGGTGTGGTCTTGTAGACTGGTAGTGCCCCTCGCAAAGCATCTCTAAGGGCTAGATCTAGCTTTCTGACTAGGCAATCCATTCGATTGGAGATTTCCTTTCCCTTCACCATTTGTGTGGCTCCAGGCCACCAGGCCTCTGCTCCATAGCAGAGCACAGAGAGCACACAGGCCTGAATGGATTGTCTAAGCAGTTGTACTGGGGCGCCTCTTGCTGTGTTGCTTAGTGCTCATATGCCATTAGACACCTGTCGTGCCTTAGCCGCCATGGTCTCCATGTGTTTCTTGAAGCTCAGTTTTCTATCTAGCCAGATTCCTAGATATCTTATGGAGCTTTTCACTGCCTTTGCTGTAATAGAGTGAGTGCCAGATGTTGTTTCAAGGTCAATTGAGGGGTTTGAAAGGGTTCTGCGCCGTGTGAAGTGTGCTATCTCAGTTTTGGCAAAATCAAATGTCAGCCCTTCTTTGCTGGCCCAATCATTTAGCAACTTGAAATCCTCCTGGAGAGTAACAACATTCCCTTCAAGAGTGGTTCCAGCACTAAGCAGTCCTAGATCATCTGCGTAGCCTAAGCGTGCACGTCTTCTTTGTATAGTTCCTAGAAAGAACAGAGGCTGAATAAACAGCATGAATAGAATAGGTGAGACTGGCGAGCCTTGTGGAAGCCCTGCTGGGATATCAAAGAGCTCTCCCAGGAGTCCATCCAATCTGATCCTGCCTGTGCGTCCTGTCATGAAGCTTTCCACCCATCTAATTAAATTTGGTGGCCAGCCTTGTTCTTGCAATCTCCGCAGCATCCTTCCTCTGAGTACAGCATCAAAAGCACCCTTGATGTCCAGAGTAAGAAGAGAGACTACTTTTCCATGGGCCCAGGCTTCCTCTATATCATGAACCATCGCTGCCACTAGGTCTGAGGCAGCCTGCCCAGGGAGGGCTCCAAAATGCTGGGGGTGGACAATCTTCTCTTGTATAGCTGTCCAGGCCAGCCTACGGGCTAACAGGCGTTCCAGTCCCTTCCCCAACGTTGAGAGAAGGGCTATAAGCCTGTAGGATCGCGGGAGTGTTGGATCTCTGTTGACCTTAGACAGCACAACCAGTGTGGCATCTTGAAAGGAGGTTGGGTGCCAGCCAACCCTAAGGCAGGCTCTGAACAGCCTTTCCACTGATACCTTAATATGTGGCCATGCCTTTTGTAGCACCTCTGTTGGCACTCCATCAGTTCCTGGAGTGGTATTACCCGTGTTCAGCAGAGAACTTTGTATCTCATGTGCTGAGGCAACAGGAAAAGGTAATTTGACAGATGGTGGGTTGGACCAGCTAATTGGGATATCCTCTCTGCTTGCAGCCTTCTGTAAGAGCACCCGTTGCAGAAGGTCTCTTTTCTCTCTAGGGGTTGTTCGCGTTCGCCCAGTCTCTTCATCTACAAGAGGGGGGGAATGAAAGGAGCCAGTTGAATGGGCCCATTTGATCATCTTAAAGATATCTTTCCCCACTGAGGCCTCTGCTATCTTGCCTCGCCAGTATTCTCTCTTGGCTTTCCTGGTGGTCCTGGCTACGTTGCTTTTTGCTTCTTGTAAAAAACTAGAGC